GTGTTGGACAATGATGGACAGAAAGTGTTTCAGCTGAGCTTCTTCTTGTCAGAGCAAAGAGAGACACTATAATGTCATCACTTTACATTTGATCACTTCATCTTATTAGATACTTGTATCATTAAACTCTAATCTGTTCATTCTGAAATTTTCCCTGAAACACTGCACTCAAGAACAAAAAGCTAAAATTTAAACTTTCAACAAGAGACTGCATTTGGATTCAATAAAGAGCCATGAACTAAAACCCTGAAGTTCGGCCCCACAGCAGAGGCCTGCACAGCAGGGGCCACTAGCAACGTTTGTCTCGTGTGTTTCTCACCAGAGTTCATGAACTTCCACAGCTGGTCGACCAGCGCTTCATTACACAGAGCCGAGTCTGTTGTCTTGGTGAATGGTGGATTCTTACAGAGCATACCCAGGATCTTATGTCTGTAGGTCAAGAAACATAAAATACAGATTTAATAATTACACATATCAGGTACTCGTGCTCATTCCTGAAATTCCTGAAACCTGCCTGCTGTAAGTTACGTTCAGGAGTACACTACGCTGAATGGGACACATAAAACAAATGTACAGGAAGAACTTAAGAGTGTATTCACAGACGGATGATGATCGTGAAATCAAAAGAATTTAGGAATATATTAAGTCTGTTTTAAAAACATCATTATTAATGGCAAAGTTTCAGCCTTAACCCACTAGTTATGGAAGAGATATGATACACACAGACATATATGCATACATATGATACAGTCATTATAGTAACACATAATGATAACAATGTGTAGCTCTAAACAAAATGAGCAAAAAGTGTCTTTCTCACTTGTGATGTGTGAATTCACAGCTTTGCTCTAAACAAAAACTTTACAGTCACTCTGTTGACTGTCTGTCTGTTGTTGTTGTTGTTGTTGTTGTTGTTGTTGTTCAGGGCTAAAGGAACTACAACCTCAGATTTTTATTTTATAGCACAAAGTTGATAAAAAAAAACTCAAAATCCAGAAAAGGCATTTTTATGATATGAGACCTTTAAGTAGAAGGAATTTTACAGGCTTGTTTCACAGCCACAGATCCCCTGACTTTATTATCACGTCAGGCACAGCAGCTGCTTCACTATCAACACTGACTCAAGGGAATCTCTCACCATATAAAGAAACGCGACAACAAACACTCAAAGAGCGTGAATTTGTTTCAAACATTTGAAGGTGAGGGTGTGAGAGAAATGAGGTGAGTGACGTCTGACCTGACGTAGTGAACTGGGTCATTCTGAGCCATGCTGAGCAGCCACTGCAGCTCCACTGAACTCCGCTCCACTGCAGCACAAACACTCAACATCACACATGAATCATATCTGTGCTCAAGCTGTGTCAACAACAACAAACATTCGAATTTGCATTACTTAATAGTGTGTCCTTTACCATGCCTCTACATTACGTTCTTGTCCTTTGGTGCAATAAACATAAAGGTAACGTCCATATTTGCACTCCTCACATGTTATGGATCACACTACCATTTTCCAAACGTCTTAAATGAACACTGAAGTCATTTTGTTTTTCCACTGTGAACAATGGTGTTAAAAGAGGAACAGTTTATTCATATAGCACCAATTCACAAAAACAGTAAAGTCAAGGCAGCTTAAAAGGTGAAAATCCTGCAACTAGCAGATGATCCACCAACAAATATGTCTGAGAGAACCAGGCTGATCTGCACCAATCAGCTGTGTTATTGCTCTGTTTCTATAAATGTGACGTTGATTAAGATGTGAAGAAACCCCGGTCATTTTAAAGACCTAAGTAGGGCTGCCACAAACAATTATTTTGATAGTCGACTAATCAGATCATCATGCATTGGACTAAAACTTACAGCTTATTGCACCAGCAGCATCTGCTCTTATATAACTATCATTAGCTTACAGCTTTAACTGTTTAAGGTATGTGCTAACTAAAAATAAAGACAAGATGATAGTTTATTAAATTTTAATGAAATTTGCAGATTGTTTCGGTGAAGTTTAATAAACTCCTTGCTATCTAAAATATAACAGGACACCGGAGTAAATTCTCGAGCATCTCACACTTCTGATAATCAGCTGTCTGCTTGACGTTTATTCAGCTGTGTAAAAACTATAACTTTAATCTCAGCCAAACCGATTTACTCAGGAACAAATAAAATACTAAAAAAAAAGCCAAACAATAACATTTTTAAGTTATCTAAGTGACTTATATATCATGTTTAACCTGAGTAGCGAAAGACGGTGGTGGGTTTGAAAACGATTAGCGGGAGTCCGGTGTTCTCACGGCTCTAGTTAGCCTAGCCCCCGGCTAGCTATCGAGCTAGTGGCTAACAGACGTCTCCGAAAACGTCGGAGCGCTTTTGAAAATATGTGGTGTCTTGATAAACTGAGCAGATATTTGAGGTTTACACAGCTACATTCTCGCCTGAAAATATGTTAAACGTTTATTTTGTGACCCAGAAAGAATAATAACAGTAATATTAAAACTAACTAGCTGCCGCCATTGTTGGAAACTGAGCAGGAGCGCTACTTCTTCTTCTTCAGGGTTTAACGGCATGCAGTGCTGCCATCTTCTGTTTCAGTCCGTTATTACACTCTTAAATCCTACTACTTATTCCTGCGTCTTTTGGGATCTTACAAAGCTTCAAACGACGCGTCGACTATTAAATCAGTCGTTGACGATTTTGATAGTCGACTAATCGTGGCAGCCCTAGACCTAAGCATTCTTACAGCTTCAGTAGAAATGCTGACAGGGGACCACAGGTATCATACTGGTGCTGCCAAATGATTGGTTGCCCCCCCCAGCAAACGTGTATTATTCCTCCTACCTCTAGTGTAGTCCACCAGAGCTTCCAGTGCAGCGACGCGAAGGTCGACAAAGTGTCCGTACTGAGCGTAGGACTTAAAGAGCGACGGGTCACTTGGTATGTGGCCGTTCTTCTGAAGCTGACGGATCGCTCTCAGACAGCTGGAGACGACAGAGAGGAGTGTGACAAGTTAACAGAGAGGATACAAGCTTCTCTGTATCTAAGTAACGTCAAAACGCTCTTTTCTTTTGTTGCACTGAAGTTGGACTGCTTTGTGTCAGACACATGAGAACTATTCAGGCATGTACAGATGAATATGGACTTTCTGACATCCCCACACGATCTTGCTCTGTTTGCAGAGGGCTAATGTCACCAAAGCAAAAACACTGAAAAGTATGTTCCACATTCAAGTTAAATGTTAAAATAAACATTTCAGTTTATGGGAAAAAGCTGCGTTTTGTATATTTCACTAACAACTTTGTGTTGTAGCGCTGAAACACAAGGACACACTCAGCGTGGTACCTGACAGTGATGGTGTTTCGGAAGCTTGGCAGCAACTTCTCCATATTTAGGAATCGTGTGATCTCCTCCAAGATGAGACGGACATCAGCATTTAAATTGTCCACCGTACGCACTTCATTGTTGATGCTCATGGCGGGAGTCAGGGAGTTGGTAAGGGCCTCGATCAGATCTGCTCGGTAGTAGTTATCGGAAAACTGAAGAGGAGTGAAAGGATGGGGAAAAGGAGAATGATGAAGAATGTTTATGGATACTTTACAATGTGGATACAAGGTTTGGAGGGGTTTGTGAGAGTCGCGTGTGATTAAATCACAGCAGGGATGCACCAAAAATGAAGTTCAAATTCAAACGTAGCTGCTAATCATGCTAATCATCCGTCTACAGTTTTGTTATCTTTTTTTTCTAGATGAATCTTTGACAAAAATACCGACCTCTTTATCTGTTCATATGTCGATATCAGTCAGCAGTTAGTTATTACATTTGGCTCGTCATGAAAATCCCAAAACGGTCATCTCACAGCAGATGTAGCAGACTTAGCTAGCTCTTCATTTACATCTGCTCCTCTTTATGCTCACTCGACCAGTCAGCAGCTGACAGTGCAAACAAAGAGCAAACACATCACTATGACTGAATTTACCTTGTTTTTCCTGTTGTCGTTATACTTGATCAGATCGAGTATAAAGTTGAGGACGTCTTTGGGACAGATGTTCTGCCCATCTCGGAGTAACGCCATGGCAACCGGCATCGTCTGGCATGAGAAACACAAAACAGGCGTCATGACAGCTTTATGGGCTGTTCTATTTTAAATCTGGAATGACATGTTAAGAAACGGCTCCTCTTTATAGTGGCTCACAAAATATATGATATTTCTAATTAAGTTCTGCTCTGTTGTAGTTCAACACTATGGAAGATGAAGACATTGACATGGAAACTGTTCATGACAGTCAGGCCTTCATTCACCATCACCTAAATCTGTTGGAGAGACCTTCTACACCTGGTAAACACACACAC